CATTTTGCAAAGATGTTCTGATATGATATGGTATAATGCACGAGAAGTGGCCACTTATGGTAGGTGCTCAAAAAATGGTTGCTTTTCTTACTCCAACAAAGTAAGGTTCAGCTCCAAAGACTTACTCCGTAAAGTTGTCCCAGGTTCTCCCATTCCCAGGGTTGTGTGACCTGTCCCCTCATGGGAATAACATTTGGAGGAGGGTGATAAATAACAGACTTTTGGCATTTTTAAAAAAAAAATATTTTTTTTAGTTGTCAGTGGACTTTATTTATTTATATGTGGTGCTGAGAATTGAACCCAATGCCTCACACATGTTAGACAAGGGCTCTACCACTGAGCCCCAGCCCCAGCCCTAGCATCTTTTTATTGTGGTAAAAAAATACAACATAAAATTTACAATTTTAACCATTTTTAAGTGTACAGTTCAGTAATGTTTGGTATGTTCACTTTGTTGTGGAACATCCATGAAACAGCTCTCCTTAGCCGCAGGGTAGTATTTCTATCTGTCCTTATCTAAGAAAGGCTCATAAGCAGCTTACCTATGAGCACCTTACCAATGAGGCTAACTTGCAGTAGCCTTTGTGTTTGTTTGTCCCCTCCACTAGATTTTGGGCTCACGATTAGGACCTTGCTTCATGTTTCCATGTATTACATGGTACCTAGTACAATGCATGTCATGTAGTAGGTACTAAATATGTGTGGAGTTGAATGTGATATTTACTGTCTATTGCCTTATTTCCTATTTCACTTTGTCATGTGTGTGTATGTAAGCCTGTGTGGTATAGTTTATAAATCCTAAGCGGGCAGGAGTTATGTCCAAAAGCATGCCAGGCAACAGAAGAAAGAACTCAGATTCTAGTTAGTAGACCTGGGTTCAAATCCTATGACAGCCTGAATTCAACCTGTTTGAGCACTGGTTATCTTTACTCTTAACTGAGGAAGTTAATACAGACCTCAGAAAGTTATTGGTGTTAAATGTGATAATATATGTAAGGCATCTTGTATATACAGTACATGCATCCTTTGAGTGTTAGTCTGTCACATAATAGATATTGGTAAATACTTGTTTTAGGTTGGTGGTTGGCAGAAATGGCACTGCGAATGGTTGGTTTTTAAAGAGCAAGAGCAAGGGCCAGGGATGAGTGAGATAACTGAGTATCCTTCCTATCCTATTAACCCTTGTTAGGTGTATAATGAGTTCATTTTGCCTTCGGAGAGAGATGGATTCCTGAGCCGGATTCGGGAGATTATCCAGCGAGTAGAGACCCTGTTGAAGAGAGATAATGGCCCCTCTGAGTCTGCTGAAGATGCACTAAGCCCCCAGGTCAGGCCCTTCTGGACATCTCCAGGAAGAATGGATTTTCTGCCAGAGCTCACTACTCTTTCCTCCACAGTCCCCTTGGATTAACTTCTCTTTACCTCTGGGACCTTGAAACAGTGGCTCTTACCCCATTTGAGAATATGATGAAAGCCATGGACTCGTTAAAAAAAAAAAAAGTGTTGAATGCATACTTTTCTTTTAGCTCATTATTTTGAAATAATTTCAGACTTTCAAAGTTGCAAGAATTACTCAGAGAATTTGCAATTTGCCAATTTTTTGTTTCATGACATCAGCATTATCATTCTTTCTTCCTCTCTCCCCTCCCTGTTTGTATGTATGTGTACGTACATATAAATATACATAATTTTCTTCTGAGCCACTTGAAAGTAAGTTACAGACCTCATGCCCCTTTACCCCTAAATATTTCAGCACATACTTTTGAATCCCTTGAAACTCATGTCTGGACTCTAGAGGCTCATGGATCCTTGCTTAAAAATCCCAGTCTGAAACCTTCCATCTAAGACTCAGCTTTCCCCACTGTGACTGTGCCACCACACCTTTTTTTCCCCTTAGGAGGAGCCACCACCACTGCCTGCCCTCTCAGGCCCCTTCCCAGACCCATCCATTGGTATGTACTGTGTATCCCACTCTTAGGGTTGCTTCTGGGAAGGACATAGGGCATGGGGGACTAGAATCTCAACACTTACTTCTCCCCACCCAGCAGAGCCCCAGTGCAGCACCTTCCCAGAACAGAGAAGCTGGGCAACCTTCTCCACTTCTCCTGGAACACCCTTTTCTCCTGGAACACCCTTGTCTCCTGGAAACCCATTTTCCCCTGGAACCCCCATCCTTCCAAGTCCCATTTTTCCCATCATTTCCCCCCTGTGTCATCCTAGCCCTTTCCCACTCTCCCAGGTCTCCTCAAATCCCACTCTACACCCCCCCAGCTCTCCACTTCCATTCTCCTCCAGTGCATCCCAGTTTCCAATTCCATCCTCTCCATTTCCTCTGAGTTCTCTCCCTACCAGTTCTCCACCCCCATTCTCTCCTAGTTGTTCCCAGCTCACTCTTAATCCTCCTTCTTTTCCTCTCTGCCCCTCCCCTTCTCCCCTCCCCTCCACTACAGCAGCCCCTCTCCTCTCTCTGGCTAGTGCCTTCTCTCTGGCTGTGATGACTGTGGCCCAGTCCCTGCTGTCCCCCTCCCCGGGGCTCCTTTCCCAGTCTCCTCCAGCCCCTCCTGATCCACTGCCTAGCCTGTCCACTGCCCTTGTTCCTTGTGACCAGGAGAGCCTTTCACCTCAAGCAGCCGAGATGGAGAGTGAGGTAAGTAGGAAATCAAGAGGGATGATTAGGGGGTCTCCATTCTGGATCATTTCCCTCCTCATGAACCCACACTTTGTAGGCCTCCCCAAATCCTGCTTGGCCACTCCTGGGTGAAGCCAGACTGGCACCCATCTCTGAAGGTGAGGCCTCTGCCTGCCCATTATTCCCAATCTGCTTTATATCCTACCAGATTTCTCTCTCTTCATTCTCTCCTTGTCTTCCTGCAGAGGGAAAGCCACAGCTTGTTGGGCGTTTCCATGTGACTTCATCTAAGGAACCAACGGAACCTCTTTCCTTGCAACCAACATCCCCAACTCTCTCCAGTTCTGTAAAGCTTCCAACTCCTCAGCTGACCTCAGAGAGTTCAGACACAGAGGATGGTGCTGGAAGTGGGCCAGAGACCAGGGAGGCTCTGGCTGAGAGTGACAGGGCAACTGAGGGTCTGGGGGATGGAGTTGAGGAGGAAGGGGATGATGGGAAGGAACCCCGAGTTGGGGGCAGCCCCCCACCCCTGATCCATCCCAGCCCAGTGTGGATGAACTACTCCTACAGCAGCCTGTGTCTAAGCAGTGAGGAGTCAGAAAGCAGTGGGGAAGATGAGGAATTCTGGGCTGAGCTGCAGAATCTTCGGCAGAAGTGAGTCTGGGGAGGATGGTGGAGCAACAGGTGAACTTGGAGGAACAACATGGGAGAGCTCTCTCATGCCCTTGGTACATCCTCAGGCACTTGTCAGAGGTGGAAACATTACAGACACTACAGAAAAAGGAAATTGAGGACTTGTACAGCCGACTTGGGAAGCAGCCCCCACCTGGTATTGTGGCCCCCGCAGCTATGCTGTCCAGTCGCCAGCGTCGCCTTTCCAAGGGCAGTTTCCCTACCTCGCGCCGCAACAGTCTGCAGCGCTCAGAGCCCCCAGGCCCTGGTGAGACTGCAGCTGCACAGTTTCCATCTTTCCCAAGACCCCTTCCTTATCAATTCAGTTTTCTTGTAGGCCCTGGGGTCTGCCTCTTGAGGGGACTAGCTTCCCTCTTCTCACTGGCCCTTCCCTCACTTAGTGCTCTCTCTCCCCCATCCTGCTCCCAGGCATCATGCGAAGGAACTCCCTAAGTGGCAGCAGCACCGGCTCTCAGGAGCAGCGGGCAAGCAAAGGGGTGACATTCGCCGGGGAAGTTAGCAGGATGGTGAGGGTGGGCCCAAGGGAGGGAGAGCCCAGGGAATGGTAATTGGCAGCACTTTTGCCTTCTTCTCACCTTCAAGTTTTCTTCAGTGCTTTTTTTTTTCCTTCCAGTGAATTCAGAACAGAAGCCATTTGTCTCCCCCCACACCATGGCCCAACATGGTGCTTGTGCTCTCTGAACCTGATGCTTTTCTGACCAACTCAACTCGGCAAGAAAGACTCCAGTACTGAGGGGCAAACAGCCAGGGTGGCACGGAGAATGCAGTTGTTTTTTATGAGTCAAACATGGCAACTGTTTGCTTTGTGGAGGTGTCAGTTCTACAGCTACCATCTTCATTTCCAACCCCTCCCCAGCCAAAGGCCAACCACTAAGCAATCCCACACAAGCTCGGATGCTTCTAGAGGGCTCACTCCCAGATGGAAGAGTGTAGGCGGTGTGCTCATATCAGAATTAGTGGCAGCCAATAAAAAATGCTGGAAATAAGGACCGAATCTCTGTTATGTTTTAGAACTGGGGGCAAAATCTTGTGCACTGAGTCAGGGGAGGATTTAAAGGGACTCTCTTTCACAATAGGAGGCAGGGTGGAAGCTGCCGAGCAGGCTTCCTGCCACAGAGGTCATGAGGAAATTGCAAGGTCAGTGATCCACTAGACTAAGCTAACATCCCCTTCAGATCCCACCCTAAGCCTGTAAAGGCCAGTACCAGTGAAAGTTAAAAGACAAGGCTTGTTTTTTGTTTTTGTCTCACATCCTTCATCCATTTACCTAAGGATAAGAAAAGGCAGTAAAGTTTGAGTTTGAGTAAGTTTGTTCTTGAGGGTATAGGGCAGAAGAGTGACCTTCCTTCCTCTAAGACCTGGTTCAGTCTCAAACAGCCCAATGATCTCTCCCTTAAATCAGGCGGAAAGATCTCACAGAAAAAGTGATTCTAGTTAAACATTTACAGCTCCCTGAGGCAATGCCACTGTGGTAACTGCTGCCCATGGAGCTTTCCAGCATTAAGTACCATGCATCTCTCAGCCCCCCACCCCAGCATAGCTCCAGGAGAAATGACTCAGTTTATTATTCTTAACTTGACCTTACCTTTTCCACTTTAGGTTCTAACACTGCACAGAAGTGCCACCCCCACCCCAAACGATTGGGCCTCTGGAAAGTGAAGGAGGCTAAACCACAAAGAAAGTTTGAGAAAAGCCAATGTTGCATATGCTCAAGCAAGGAAAAAAACAAAAAGGAGTTACTGTACACAGTGCATAGGAAACAGACAAGATTCCATTGAGAGTGGCCAAATGCATAGTCTCTTGGGTTCAATCATGATCCAAAGTCAGTAAGTAGGCCAGTGAGGCTGTGAGCAGGCAATTTCTACAGGATCATGGGGTATCATCCATCTTGTGAAGGGGCTCCACCAGATTGAAGATAGATAACGCCCGTCCGTCCATTCAGGGTCCTGATGCCCTCGCAAGAGCTCGGGCTCTGGCAGCTTTAGCCTCGTCTTCCAGCTCATCAAGGAAACGCTCCTGGGACACTGAGTAGAAGGTGTATCCATCTAGAGAGGTGGGTTCAGGAAATTACTTGGAATATAGATTTTCCCTTCTCCTATCACCCTTTATTCTCCCAAATCAGTGATTCCAGAATCTCACACTGCTCTTTTTGAACCCTGACCTCAACAACTCCCTCATCATTCCCAAATCACATTAAAAGAGAACCTTAAAAATAGAACAGCTGGTATTAACCCTATTTCACCCAAACATTAAATGCTTGGTTCAGTCCTCCCACACGCTTCTGTTCCCCTGCCCTTATCAGGACGGATACAAATAGCTAACACCACGGCCCCGATGCCCAGGCCGGTCACGATGTTCCGGGTCCGCCGCTGTGGCAGCGTTTTCTGCCACTGGGCAAGCTGCACCTGCTGCATGAACTGCAGTTGCGCGGGAGTCAGTTTTTCCCGGGTCGGGTCAATGCGCTGAGCAAAAGGAGCCTTTCCGTTCTTGGCATCGACAGGGTCACCAGCACCCGGCGCCGCCATGTTGCCGCTCCGCCCTTCGCAGTGCCGGGATGCGGGGCTCGCTGGGAAAGTAGTCCTTGCCCACCGCCAGGAACGCTGGGAGTTGTAGTCCTTATTCACTTTCCCGGGGAGAGCCGAGGCTTTGGGCCTTAGGGCGAAGGCCCGGAATGGCGGGAAGGGGCTGTGCTTTCTGATTGGCTGAGGGTCCCGCGGCCGGCCGTTGGAGCGGGGAAAAACTGTGGAGAGCTCGAGGCTGTGGTGGGAATTGGGTTTTCCTCAGACTTGAGGCGGGGACAGACACATTGGAAGGGGACGAGGAACTCAGGGTGTGGCTGAAGGCTTCTGAGAGAAGCTAAGGGGGAGAATTTATGGATCCAGTGAACTGTCCCAGGGCCCCCAAAGGCTTCTGAATATGGACGGACCTATGAGGCCAAGATTGACCTCCCTCGGTGACTTTCAGTTTGGGGCTGTTGCCACAGAAACTATTGAAGACGCCCTGCTTCACTTGGCCCAGCAGAATGAGCAAGCAGTGCAGGCGGCTGGGGGACGCATGGGCAGCTTCAGGGAGACCCGGATCGTGGGTGTGGATGCAGGGCCTGGGAGTGGGGTTGATGGGAGCCTTTGAGGCACCAACCTTAAGATTCTTTTAATTTTATTTATTCAAAAAAAATTGTTTTGTTACTTTGTACCTGCTTTATTGCCGGGTGCTAGGGCCATAGTGATGAACTTCTCCAACACCTTCACTTCTCCAACATAAATAGAGTACTTAGACATTGCCTGCCATAGAAAGAAGAAACAGGTGGCCCTTGTTCTCAAACTATGTGCAATCTTTGGGGGGGGGGTATTAGGACAAATAGGTAAATGACTAGGTACAAGCTTGGTTAGATAAGTGACATAAGAGATAAACTTTTAGGGGGATTGAAAGGAGGGATGGGGTAATAGGGAGAATTAAGGAGTGGTCTAGGCATTGTGACATTTGAAGTAGACCTTAAAGGAAGGTTGGTTGGTGAAGGTGGAGGAGGGGGACAGCCTTTCTACCAAAATGGGATAGCAGGAATAAAGTGAAGGAAGCTTAGGATGTGTGGGGGTCAGGGTAGCCCACCAGCCAGAGTTCATGGAAGAGTTGTTGGATTGAAGACAGAAAGGTAGTTTGGAGAAGTTCCATGTAGAAGTTTGAATGTCAAGGGGGAGGATTTTATATTTGATTTAATAGGAAGATGTTGGAGGTTTTGAAATAAGGCAGTGGTATGACTGTAACTTTTGCCTTGGCAAAACTCATTTTGGATGTTATGTAAAGGATGGATTTGACTAGAGAAAGATGGGAAGTAGGCAGACCAGAGGAGCCTAGGTGACAGGATGGAGAAAATGACAAAGGAGGATGGATTAAAAACATTTAGGCAAAATCTAGGGTTCTTCCCTAGGTGACTTAAAGAAGTGAAGAAGGAAAAATGACTCTGCCAAAGGGTTGAGTCTGAGAGACTGGGAGTATAATGGTGCCATTAACACATACACCAAAAACCAAAAGAGGAAGATCTGTGACTTTGAGAAAAATAATTGCTTTGGTTTCTGATCTATTGAGTTTAAGGTACTTGAAGAACATCTAGAGGAAATTTTCTAACAGGCTGTTTTAAAAAGCAGATCAGGGGCTGGGGAGAGAGCTCAGTGGTAGGGTGCTTTCCAATCATTTTGTTAAATTTTTAAAATTTTTTAGTTGTAGTTGGATATAATATATTTAATTTATTTATTTTTATGTGGTGCTGAGGCTCTGATGCAGGGCCTTGCCCGTGCTACGTGAGTGCTCTACTGCTGAGCCATAATCCCAGCTCCCAATCATTTAAAAAAATTTTTTTAAAAATTTTTAGTTGTAGATGGACACAATATCTTTATTTTTATGTGGTGCTGAGGATCAAACCCAGGGCCTCACACATGCGAGGCAAGCAGCTCTGCCTCTGAACTATAACCCCAGCCCCCCCATCATTTGTTTAAAATATATTTTTTTAGTTGTTGTTGGACCCTTATTTTATTTACTTATTTATACGCAGTGCTGAGAATTGAACCCAGTGCCTCACACATGCGAGGTAAGCATTCTACCACTGAGCCACAAGCCCATCCCCTCTTACCAATCATTTAAAACACACACACACACACACAGAAGTAGGTCAGAACTAGAAATAAAGGTTCGCAAGTTACCTTCATAATGATATTGTTGAAACTGTGGGAGAGGATGAATGTGTAGGAGAAAAGAAAAGCAGGTCAAGGACATTTCCTTGGGAAACATTTTGTGTTGAGGGAATTAGAATAGGTGGAAGAGTTGTAAAGGGAATGGAGTGGTTGGCGGGGGGATACAGGAGCAGAACCAAGGACTTTTGGAAGCCAAGAGGAGAGTTTCCAGAAAGATGATGTCAGCAGGTTCAGACATTTTAGGAATATCAACAGGAATGAAGGTTGCAAAGAAAACCATGATATTTAACAATCTGGACATATAATAATTTCAGCAAGTTGGGGAAAGTAGAAGCCAAATTGCAGGAAATTAGGGAGTGAGTGACAAAGTGGAAACAGTGGGTGTGTAAGAAATTCAGCAATGATAGGAAGGAGAGAGATGGAGACTCAGCTTATGAGCATGGTAGGGAAGCTTCTTTTTATTTAATAGCAGATATGAATATGTTTGTAAGAAGAAGAGGTGGAGCCAGTATTGAGGGAGAGATGTAACCATCATCCATTCCTCCTAAGCCAAGCTGTTTTCTTGGAAAATTAAAATGGAAACCAGAAATGAATGCCTAGATGATTCAGACCAAAACCAAAACAAATGTAAACATACACACACATGTGGGCATGCCTGTGCATGCACACACACACTCAAACACACGTGCATGCTCACACACACACACACTCCCCAAAACTACTAAGAAATAAAGCCTGAAGTCCAGACTGGCTAGTAATACACAATTAGGGATTTTTTTTCTGAATTGTTTAAACTAATTCTATTCTGCATTGGACATTGCTAGCAAAGCTGTAGTCTGTAATAAGGTTTTGTACATATATGTGTGTAATGTGTGTTGGGTAGATCTTTAAACTGATCATGTGTCTTTTTTTAAAATAGTTTTTTTAAGAGATTTTTCTCTAAAGACAAGTGATAATTCAACTACATGTATACAGATTGAGCCTCCCTAATCCCCAAACACAAAACTTGAGTGCCAACATCATGCATAAAAAATTTTGGAGCATTTCAGATTTTCAGATTAGGGATGCAAATATTACAAAATCCAAAAATCCATGAAGTCTGCAACTCTTCTGGTCCCAAGCATTTCAGATAAGAGATACTCAATCTGTACTCTTTGGTCATCAAGGTTAAAAGTTCTTAGGTCTGTAGGAGATTTCTTTGCTTTTTGAAAATGGACATTTACCCTTGTTTTCACCTTCTAATGATATTGCAGCTAAATAGAATTATATTTGTGATGTTCTTTTAAAGAGTAACAGGCAGACTAAAATCTTGCCAAAGTGTCTTGGTCTTCTCACCTTCCCAATGATTCTTTCCCACTAAATTGAACTATGTGCTCTGATTTAGGGTATGTCTCTTTAAGACAAGTCACTCCACAGTAATAAGTTTGCTCCTGGGGAGAGGCTCAGCCACCATAGATTTACCCAACAAACTGGTGGTGGGGAGGTAGTGTCCAGCTGTAAGGTGAATCCTGTTTGTAAAGCAATGGGAGTTCTCCAGAGGGTGGTTACTAAACAAACAGTGTTATAAAGACAGCCCCAGGAGGGACCTTTCTGTTCCCTGCCAATATTCCACTGAAAACAGAATATAGAGGTTAGGGTTTTTATCTATCAGAGAATCTTCCTTGAAGCTGAGAGTTCCTAGCATGGTGTAACTGCTATATTTATGTGTAATTGGCCAAGGCCTTTATCAGCTGAGACCCACAAGAATGCTTTTGGGCCACTGAGGGCGCTTGTGAAGCCCATGACTGAGTCAGCCTCCTTTTCATGCCTCTGATCTGCCTTACTGGCAGCAAAGGAAATCAAGCTCTGCTTTGATTGTTTCTGTCTCATCTTTCTAACCTCTTGACCCTCTTCTCAGCCCCATCATGGCTTTTACACAACACCAAGAGTTCACAGAGTAGCTTTGGTTGCATTTTGTAAATGAGCTCTTCTTTCCTGTTTTGGCAGAGTTTATTTTTCTCCTGTCTGAACAATGGTGTTTGGAGAAATCTGTGAGCTACCAAGCTGTAGAAATCCTAGAAAGGTAAAACCCTGAGTCTTTGTGAGTGGTACTTCTCAGAATGGCTAATGTGCCTAAATCTTAAAAAAAAAAAAAATTCATCCAGAGGAGGCGGTGCATGCCTGTAATATCAGGAACTTGGGAGGCTGAGGCAGGAGGATGGCAAATTTGAGACTAGCCTCAGCAACTTGAGACTGTCTCAAAAAGCAGCTCAGTGGTAGAGCACTCCTAGGTTCAATCCTCAGTACTGAAAAACAAAACAGAAAAGTACTAGTTGCCCCTTACTCTTACATCCTCTCTCTTTTACTTGCAAGTATAAATTTCTTAGCCAGCACTTGATACCCGAAAAGTTAAAATATAGCATAGTTTGAAGCACAAACTCCCTTTAGTTTGTTTAAGTGTGGGTTCTCTCCTCTCCCTCTCCCTCCCTTGCAGGTTTATGGTTAAGCAGGCAGAGAACATCTGTAGGCAAGCCACAATCCAGCTGAGGGGTAATGAGAAGACAGAGTCTCAGAATTGGAGGGCTCTGAAAGAGCAGCTTTTCAATAAGTTTATCCTTCGCCTGGTGTCATGTGTTCAGCTGGCCAGCAAACTTTCCTTCCACTACAAAGTAAGGAGCTGGGGTAGCTTGTGGGCACTTGAGTGTTAGAAAGAAACCAGTTCATTGAAGGTGGCTCAGAAACCTACTCCTAGGCCAGGTGGTACTGCTCATGTGGAAATTCCAGAGTGTTAATTATGTTTCCTAAGCATACCTCCTAAACACACACACACACACACACACACACACACACTCACACCGAAGTAGTTATTAAATAACCTGAGGTTCTGTTCCCAAAGTATAATTACTGGACAGATGCCATCATTCATACAGGTCACCTTTCCTCTCCTTGGATTCAAGGACAGTTTGCATAAGATGCCTGATTTGCCAGCATACCTATCACCATTTAAGGAAAAGTATTACATTTAAACGGGATAAAATGTTACCACATGACTACTCAGTGCCTGTGCAGCAAAATGACATTAAATTTATTGAGTTTCTTCTATGGCCAGATGTTGCACTAGGTACCATGGCCACAACAGTAAATATATTATCTGTGTTCTCAAGGAATTTATTATCTAATAAGAAAAGACAAATATGCAAACAGGGTAAAAAGGTGCTATGATTAATATAAACAATAGAGGGTGAGACTACCTCATTGGCCTTGGAGAGTTAAGGAAGTGTATTTAGAGAATATGATTTCTTGAAGTAGGGGTGGGTGGCAGAAGAGTGAATCCCAAGAAAAGAGGGTTAGGGAGGGCAGTGAGAGAAGAAGGGGAGGGAAGAAAGTGAGATCTAGGTCCAGGAAGCAGTTTGGTAGATTTGGGAACAGCAAACATTCTGTGCAATAAGCATAGAGTTTAAGAGAGAATTACCAAGAGGGGAGACTAGTAATGAAGGCATGGGTTGGGCTGTGAAGAACTTAGTACAGTCTGCCAAGATAAGATGACCTATATCCTGACATCCTTCTCTCCCTCCCTGTTTTGTTCTTCTTTGCTCAGATAATCAGCAACATTACAGTCTTGAATTTCCTCCAGGCTCTGGGGTATCTATACACTAAAGAAGAACTGCTGGAGTCAGAGCTTGATGTTTTGAAGTCCCTGAACTTTCAAATCAATCTACCCACTCCCCTGGCATATGTAGAAATGCTCCTCGAGGTTTTAGGTACTTTGTTGTGTCAAGGAATGTGGGTTGGAGATTTCCATAGAAGGCAATAAAAATACGTGCCTGGGGTGTGGGAACAGCAGGCAGAACTTGCCAATGAGGAGCAGTAGGAAGCTGATATTGTCTCTAAATGACTGAAAAAGGTGTTCCCTCCAGCACCTGATAGGGGAAGGAGCCAGAAGTCTCAGAAACTGGTTTCTGTTTGGACTCGCTAGGTACTTTCTTATTGCAGGATCTAAGGGTTGATTTTATGGAGACATAAGATAGGAACAAATATACTGTAATTGTATGTATACTATAGATGGAGGTTCTCTACCTGTCCCTTTGTCCTTTACAACTGACTTGCTTATAGAATGTAGGAACCAGGAAGCACATTAGTAGCTAAACAGCTTTATGTCATAAGACAATGGTCAGTACAATTAGAGAACAACCACTTAATGCTTCCTACTCTGCTCACACTCCATCTAGGATACAATGGTTGTTTGGTCCCAGCGACACAGCTGCATGCAACCTGCCTGACCCTGCTTGACCTGGTCTATCTTCTACATGAACCCATATATGAAAGTTTGCTGAGGGCTTCAATTGAGAACTCTACGCCCAGTCAACTCCAAGGGTAAGCAACTTCTCTAGGGTTGGCTCCTTCCAGGAACAGGGAAAGGGGGATAGATCACAAGATTGTGGAGAATGGAATTACCCTAGTAAGGCATCTAGACCACTAAAAACCTACACAAGTTACTGGTTCTTATTAACTTTTTAAATGTTGCTTGGATGCAGATGACTGAACCCAATCAGGAAAACTCTAAAAGCTTTTACTTCTGGATTTAAATTACTTCAAGTAATTAACTTACTTTCTTAGGTTTTTCTTTATAGCTGCTTATAATTTTAGGTTAGTAGACTGTTTTTATAGTTACTTGGGGGGGAAACAGTCATACGGTTGCAACTTGAACAAAAGTTTTTGATTACTGTAAATTCGGGCTGCTCAAAGGCCTTACAGATACATTTGTTAGGGAGACAGATGGAACAATAAAAAGCCTTATCACTCAAAGACATGAGGGCATGTTTTAATGCCAATTGAGTTGGGGGAGGATAGGGGAGCAGGTCAATTAGCTATTACTTGACCATTTCCTTCCATGTCTCAAAACATCCAAGATGATCAATATAAGCAATTTATAGTTTAAGTTGCAAGATCAAGGATTTGGAAATTTCTTTCTAGCTCCAAAATTAATATGATTTTAATCACTCAGGGAAAAGTTTATTTCAGTAAAGGAAGACTTCATGCTGTTGGCAGTAGGAATCATTGCAGCAAGTGCTTTCATCCAAAACCATGAGTGTTGGAGCCAGGTATGCATCACTGAGCAGGACCAGCATGGTCAGAATTAATTTAATAGAAAGCATTTCTCTATCAGTTAAACAGAAGACAACCTACAAAAGATAGGTGCCAAGACCCAGAACTGGGGTGATTGAACAGGATTTGGGAGGGGAAAAACTAAGGCAGGATTGAAATATTTTCTCTAGTTTTCCCCTTATGAAATTGGAAATAGATGCTCAAATTTAGCATGTTCATTTCCCTTTAAAATTCTGACCCACTATTATGTTTAAAGTCTAATAAGTATATCCTCCCCCAAAAGAAATGTCAAAGCCTAAATATCCCCTTATATTCTCAAAACTTATCTCCAGTAGAGGGATATGTCCACCAGAAAATTTCCATGCCAACACTAGCAGGACAAAGGTATCCTAATGTAATTTGGCCACTGGCAAACACTGGAATCTGGACTCTTCCCCATAAGCTCAGAGAAATGAAAAAGTTTATATTTGGCTTAAGAGAACATCCCAAGCAGTGTGTGTGTGTGTTTGTATGCACATGAGCACGCACATGTGCACAAAACACATTGAGATTATTTAGTAATACAAAATCTGTCTCTATTTGTGAAGGTTGTGGAACATTTGCAGAGCATCACTGGTATTGCCTCGGAGAGCATTGCTGAGTTCTCTTATGCAATCCTGACTCACAGCGTGGGAGCCAACACTCCAGGGCGACAGCAGCCTGTTCCTCCCCACCTGGCAGCCAGAGCTCTGAAGGCTGCTGCTTCCTCTAACACATGATGCAGGCTGAATCCACCAAATATAAACAGCCTTCCATCACTGTACTCACCCCTCCCTTTGTTTACTTTCATACTCAGTGTACAAAAGTTCCAAGTCTCTTTTGAACTGTATTTTGTATTCCTTTTTTTTTTTTTTTTTTTGCATAATAGGGATTGAATGCAGGACCTTCTGTATGCTAGGCAAATGCTCCACTATTGAGCTATATTCCCAATACTTTTTATTTTCCATTTTGAAACAGGGTCTTGCTAAATTGCCCAGGTTGGTCTCAAATTTGGCAATCTTCCTGCTTCAGTCTTCCAAGTAGCTGGATTATGGTGAGTGCCACCACACCTGGCTGTTATTCCAAATTCATGCACATTTTCTTACATCAGAGAGTCAGGGTGGATAAGAATGTCCTTTTTGTCATATAAAACTAAAAGTGTCAAAGAGCTTGGAGGATATAGATTAGTGAAGTTGGTTCATTTTTATTTAAGAGTATATTCATAGCTTTTGACTTAATTTCATTAATCGGGACAATAAGACATAGAGATTAGCATAACTGGAGTCTCAAAACAGAGTATCTGGGTGACCTTGACTAAATATCAAGGAGACAGTGTTTATTTATTTCTACTTAGTTTAATGTCTCTCTCTGTTATCAAGGTCTACACAAACAGGGCTTTCTCTATAGCTATTTTCACTACTTTTTTTTTTTCTAAAACCATACCATCTCTAAACATGTTTCAAAAGAATTTCCACATACCTGCACTTGAATTCAATTCTCCCAGAATACAAAGTACTCTATTTTAGTTAAAGAAAAACTCAACAGTACACCTCTGGACAGTTATTAGACTATAGCAAAATTTTATTACAAATAAATTTCTCCATAATGTCTCAAACAGTATCAAACACCATTTCATAACGTTATTCTTAACACAGAGCAAAATAGGCATTCAGTACTTGAACTGAGTGAGAAGTGTTAAATTTCAAGCTTCTGATCACATCACATGGTGACCAGGCAAAGCTTAGATGTCATTTTCCCACGTTATCCAACTGTGTATTTCAAACATCTCATCCTCTCAGTGGAGACAAAAGCTTGTATTTCATATTTTAAGTGCAGGAAGTTGAGAGAGATAAAATCCAGTGAAAACACATCAGTCTCAGTTCAACTCAAAAAAAAAAAAAAAAAAGCAAACTTAAATTAGTTGTTTTTTCAGGGGATAAAGGGAAGAGAAGGCATGGGATTAGGAGCAAAATTGTGACAAGGGCTGGTAACTATACATGGCATGTTGTAGCTCTGGAAATTATCTGTCATATGATATTTTAAAATAAAGTGGCTTTTATCTCTTTTGGTATTGTAAACATGTGCTGTTTAATATTTTCCAAATTTAAAACTTTTTTTTTTTTTTGCAAGCAAAAACAAAATTTAAAGCCTTTAAGACAAGTATCCTAAGAAAACAAGAAAGTCATTTATTATAAAACTGTGAGGATACCCAAGCAAGACCCCACTTAAGATTCGTCAACATGAACTTGAGAGCTTTTGTCCACTGTTCCTCAGAGTTAAACTGGGTTTTGATGGAATAGGAGCCGCCACTGCCTCCTGTGTCTTCAATCTTGCCTTTTTCCACATCCATCCTGCAGATGGACACAGCAGAACTCATTAGTAACTGAGATCTGAGTTAAGTCAGTTCAAGCAAATGGACAGGGATTTGATCATGGGACCATTCACGTCATCTTATCTAATAAAGAACTCTTGGCGAGAAATGGTAGTGTATTTTGGATTTGCTTGAAAGCCAAAAATCAAGAAGGCTGTCACAAGAGCCTCATTGTCATTGTGGAGTATAGGGACAGGATACACACCCAAACACATGAGAAGCCAGAAGCAGGGGTAAGTGAGGGTTACAGTACTCTTCACTGTTTTCCTAGGCAATCCCTGAACTCATAAAGGGTGCAGGAAGCAAAAGAAAAAATGCTTTATTTCAGGGTGATAGGAGTGGCGTAAGCTTCCTCTCTTGAACTAGGGTTTCCACCTATTACAAGGCTCCTCCAAATCTGACCCAAAGCGTTCCTGTATATTTTCAAAGTTTTCAAGGAAAAAGCTTCCTGAAATCAGGCTTGAGATTTGTGCCAAGAAAATCTCCAAAAACCACCAAAAACAACATTATATTACTATAAGACCAGGTGTCACACTATCTTGCTTGCAGTATTGGATCCGTCTTGCCCATCAGTATCACGTGCTTCCACACCATGTTTTGCTTTCCCCCATCTGTGTGTTTTCCCCTCTGTTCTGACTGTCCCTCAATTCTGTTCTGCTGGGTCCTACTACAAGCTCATTCGGTACTGGGGGATACTGACCTGTAAGGAAGACAAAATCGTGTTTCACCTTTCTCCACCTCTTCTTTGAATTGCTGCACACAGTCCAGGAAAGCCACCATTGCATGGTCAAACTTGTTGTCCCAGAAAAACCGCAAACCCCCAGAACAATATAATGGCAGCTCCTGTCCAAGAAAAGAAAACTGGATGGAAGCCAAGAAAGGCCACCAGAGATTGTTCTAAGTCCTATCAATCTTTCAAGTCATATTCTGTCTGTATCCACTGGCAACAAGTTCGGGGCTGGGCTGTATCTTCCATAACCTTGAACAAATACAATTAACAAGGCACCTAGAACTACTTTCCCATCAGTGGAAATGTACTTTACCTCACAGTGACTCCTTCTCCATCCTAGTACATACATTCTCCTCTGATCTGCCCAAATTCCTTCTCAACAAGTTCTAAAAACCTAATTTTTCTCTATAAGCCCCCAAAGAGCTAAGCCTGAACAAGACATTGACTCTTTGATTATCTCATTTTAAGAAAGAAACTGAATAATACCAATATCAAACTAAACCACTTAGTTAGGAGGAACAGGAACTCTATTCCAGTGAAAAAGGGGCCTCCCATAGTACCTTAGATTTGTCTGTCAGAGACTCCAGATATGAATGATTTCCATAGGGAACAAGTCGATACCTAAAATCAAGATGCAGACAGAGATGGATACAGGACTCCTAAAGAGTAATGAGAAATTGTAGATTTTTGATCTGCATCCTACCCAAGGACTCTTTTATTATTCCCAACCCTCTCTCCAAGCTGCCCATAGATCCATGTTTAAAAGATTTTGTTTACTGAAAAAATTAATATATGTTTTAGTTTAGAATTTAGAAAAAACTGAGCTAGTTTCAGTGGCACATGCTTGTAATCCAAGCTACTCAGGAGGCTTAGGCAGGATGATTGCAAGTTAGTGAGATTCTGCTTCAAATTAAAAAATAAAGGGACTGGGATTGTGGCTCAGCGATAGAGCACTCGCCTAGCATGGGCGGGATCCGGGTTCGATCCTCAGCACCACATAAAAATAAAGGCATTGTGTGTGTCCATCTACACCTAAAAAATAAATATATAAAAAAAAAAATAAATTTTAAAAATAAAATAAAATAAAAAGGGGGGCTGGGGTTGTGGCTCAGTGATGGAGCACCTGCCTGGCATGTGTGAGACACTAGGTTTAATCCACATAAAAATGAATAAATAAAACAAAGGTACTGTGTCCATCTGTAACTAAAAAATATTTTTAAAAATAAAAAGTGCTGGAGCTGTAACTCAGTGATAGAGCACTTGCCAAGCATGAATGAGACCCTGGGTTCAATCCCCAGTACCGTAAAACAACAAAAACCCCTGAAACTTAGTGTCTTGAGGGACACTAAGGTTCTGGAGACTACAAGTTGGGGACCACTACTCCCATCATATAGCTTAATGACTGCTCTATCAGTGGAACGAGCCCTGTGATAAAGGAAGAACCTCATGGAGACAGAGCCTCCACCTACAGAAAATTCTCAGTCTGCTGGCAGCAAGGGCTCCTGCCACAGTAGAGAGAAGTAGCAGGTGGGAGATACAGATTATGTCAAAGATACACCACACCCCAAGGAAGGACTGTTTCTTACCTCTGAAATTTCAGACCCATCTTATTGGCCAGGGCGTGAAGCAGCAACACTGTCTGACCCCAAGCAGCATTAATCTCATTCCATTCCACAGGAACACTGGGCAGACGACCCAGTCTGAAGTTATTAATTGTGCCAAATTGTCCACTGTGCCTGTAGAGGAAGGCAGAAAGGTAGAAGGAAAATACAGGGATTAATAAAACGTCAGATATTTCCCACTCTCACTCCCAAATCAGCATAAATTTCTCTCCCTATCTTTAGATTCATGTATCCAACCTCTACTTGGCCTTTTAAATACATGCCCAAAACCTGAGTCATCAACTTTCTCCTAGCTTCACAGATGCCAAAGCAAAAACCTGGGTGTCACCACTGAATGCTCTCTCTCAGCTCCCTCCCAGCAAAACCCATCAAGTTCTGTTGATTTTAACTCCTCAATCTCTTAAATCTGTCCACTTATCTCCAACTCAACTGCTCTTATGTCTTCTTCTCTCCAACCACTGTTTTCCTGTCTAGATTCCTACTGACAAATTTCCTTAACCTACTTCTCCCAAGTCATTTCTCACGTAGTAGGTAAGGCTCTCCTTACAAATAAAAATTCAATGATGTCAGTTCCTCATCTAAAATGCTTCAATTATTCCTTCTGTCTTTTGGATCAAGTGCAAACCCCTTAATGAGGTCTACAAGATCCTTTAGGAAATGGTAACTCTCTAATTTCATATCCAATCACTCACCCCTTTACATTCAATCTTCAGTCACAATAAGCTTCTTTCATTTCTCTGAATTTACCATGCCCTCATTCCTATTTTTTTTGCACCTGATGTTCTCTCTGCCAGGAACAACTCCCCCTCTGCAGACATCTTCTTCACCTCTCAGCTAAACCATTAACCTCTAGGGGGAATTTTCATGCTGCCTCCCTGAATTGGGTAAAGTTCCCACAGCACCTTTCTTATACTGTACTATCCTTGCCTACTATTTATCCATCCCTTCCACCAGATTATAAGTAACCTGAAGGTAGACTGCATATTGTCTGCTGTGGCCTTTCTGGTACAGCCCCTACAAAAGGTAGGCACGCCAACAGTTACTAGCTAAGTGGATAAAACATGAAATGAATACATGAAAGACCTTGGGGTAAGAAATTACCAGGAAGCTGACCAGGTTCTCACTTGGTGGCTGGAAGACTCAGATCCTTCCCTTTCCTTGGATGAGAGGATATCACCAAGCTCTAGAATTCTAAGCCCTTGATTGTGCCTATCCCATCACAAGGAATGACAGAAACTTAGATGGGGTGAAAATGATCTACAGTCTCTCTTTTAGGGGAGACAGACACCATGACTTAGTAGTCAACAGCTAAGGTCCACGTTGGCAGTGCTGCCCAGACATGTCTCCAGCCTCATTACCAGATATGGAAGGTTGCATTAAAGACATTGGTTTTCTTCAGCTTGTCCAGCTGCATCTGGGCATACCGCATCTGATTTTCTACACTCTTCAGCTCATCATCCAGCTCTAGCTGTTGTCGTTTAAATTCACTATATTCTCTCTGATACCTGTAAGAGCAAAGGGGGCCATTGAAGACTGTTAGTTTGGGGACTGATTTCTCTCCAATCACACCTCTGAACAACTTATTCTAATGATTACAGTTACATTTAGTTACAGCATTTTCTATATTTGGCATAGATCCCTCTCAGAGGAACATACATGCCTTTACCTAGGAGGAAAAAAATGTCTCAAATTCCAGCTGGCCCATATGTGTAAAGGTGGAGGAAAAAAGACTCTTCTGAACTAGACCAAAAAACTCTGATATTTCCAATCTTTTTCAAAAGTGAGGTGAATGCATTAAGATGGGCTTCTCTCATGAATTGGCAATAATTGGCCCCTATAACTTCACTTCTACACTTATTATCCTTTAAGTAGTTAGTATATACCATTTCCAGTGCAACTTTTATATCACTGTGAAAAATTGACCTTTTTTCTCTTTCCTTCATTTCCCCAAATTTAGTGCAGACACTGTTATGTCCTCCACTCAACAGAGGGTTCTCTCAGGTCAAGAACATCCATGAGCCAGGCATGGTGGCACATGCCTGTAATCCTAGCTACTTGGAGGCTTAGACAGGAGATCAAGTTGAAAGCCAATCTCAGCAACATAGCAAGATCCTTCCTCAAAACAGAATTTAAAGGGCTGGGGGTGTAGCTCAATGGTAGAGCACCCCTGGGTTCAAGCCCCAGTACCACAAAAAACAAAACAAAAAAAACAACACCCATGAAACTTTTGCTCTGGGAGGAACCAAATGTAGGCTAACAGGCTCATCTTTCCAGATGATGGCTGCAAAGTATATTATCCAAATAGGCCCATTCTCTCCAGGACAGAACCAAAACCAGTGTTCTGGTGCTGGCACC